CACACTAACATGCTATAATTGGCTCTGGATTCTGTAGGGCATAAAGGAAGCAGTCAGTATTCTATCGTCAAATTAGAGCATAATTTTGCTCAACATAACAGTAAGCCTGGGTGCATATGTGAATCAAATACAGCCAATTTTCCACATGGTGGGGGTTAGGGGTGCAGGGTTTCAGCCTGAACCACATAAAAATTTTTGGCCCTCTTGGCAAACTAAATCAGCTTGAACAAAGTCAAGTGGTTTGGATCTGAGTACAGTTTAGGGCACTAAATTGGCACAAAAAGATACGAGAAACACAAGACACAAAGATCACAGCAAGATTCCTGAAAGTGGCTGTGTGTGGCTCAGTGGGCTAAGCCTCTATGCCTGTCATTAGAAGGTCACCGGTTTGAGCCGGACCTTGGTAGAATGGTTATGTCTGTGGGCCTCTGAGCAAAGCCCTAAACCACCAGCATTCTAAGTTCTCCATATGGGATCAATAAAGTGTCTTTGTTATTATACAGAACATAGTATATTTGGTTCAGTTTGACGAAAACCTCCCATATCTCACCATTAGAGAGAGGTATCCTCAGTGTGAGTGTGTGACTTCTGTGATTGCAGAGGCCGTCGAACAGCATGTGTATGCTGTCACACCCAGGCTTCTCCAGGCTTGCCATCACTCGACCTGGTCACATGATCTCACTCCACCTGGTCACATGATCTCTCTCGTATACGTCGGCTGGTGCCTGCTGGCCACACAGCAACTGTACCGCATCAGCTTCCTTCAGAAAACCCAGATAATACTCCCAGAATTCCTCAGGTCATATAAACATCCATCCAGCTGGCCTTTCCCCTTGTAGAACGCGAGGGCGGATAATCTCTTGCCTTTCAGACTGTGAATTACACAGTGATAATCCCACAAAAGAATCAAAAGTGACTCACATGACTCTGTGGGATTCTCAGTGGGCTTCAGAACGTAAAAACACCATTGACACACAGAGCCGCACGTGGGCTCTAACATCACGCCTGATTAGCTCCTGCTGCGTTTCAGTAAATTACAGTGTTTATTCATGGGCCCTGCTGGAGTATGCCGTCAAAACCCCAAGCAACAAATAAGTCCCAAAGATTCTGACAGCATGGCACGCAGCAGAAAGAGGCCGTAAGAATATGTGATGTTACCAACTTTTGGCTCCCACCAGAATTTCCACCTGTTGCCTTGAGGGGGTGGGGAGGGGGGTGTCTCTGTGTCCTGAGCCGCATACAGAATGAAAAGACGGAGTCATTGTGGGGAGAGTGTAGACAAAAGCCAGGTCCTCACTTTCACATGACCCGTGCCCACACCCCCTGATGGGGATTCTCCAATTAACCACAGCTGGACCCCGCCTACGCCGATGAGCTCCGATACACATGGAATCGTTCCAGGTCTCAGCAGGAGGGGCGAGAGGGGTAGCAGAGCGGGGAAGGGGGGCACTTTCCCCCACCACTGACCATGACCTCTCTGAGAACAGTAGCCCTGGTTTGCCGAAACACTCAGTCCTCTCCTTCGATGAGTGGCAAAATGGAGTGTGGCCTCTCGCCTGGCAGCATTAAACAGATCAGCGCTCTCTGACACCCTCTTTGTTTGGCCCGATGAAAGGAGACACACAAGCTGCCGTCAGAAGCAGATCCTCCCAGCGGCTAACTGCTTACAAAGGGATCCTAACAGCAGACGCTGAGCATACAATACACTCTCTTTAAAGAGTGAGCTAGTTTTGCAGACTGTCTTAGTGAGTATGGTGAACACTACATCTATCGCACGAGGGTTCCTGAGCAGCGTGTAGCTCATACGCACATAAAAAAACTCAAATACATATGCTATTTACTGCACATTCTTCTGATCTGCTCTTTCATTTCCTTTACCCATTTACATAATCTCTCATCCAATCACACTATTTTTATCCTAATATCTTATGTACATGTTTTGTCTTAATATGTCCAATGTTTATAATATGTCTTACATATTTACAGTATATTCTATTTATTACTTTATTTTGACCAACAAGCATTGACGTTGTAGCACCAGGCAGACTGAGGCATTGTGGCATGAATGATAAGCAGGCTCCTTTAAAGGGGAGAACATGTCCTTACAGGCACTGAACAAACACCGGATGCCACCATACTGCGAAGACACAGAGAGGTCAGACACTGGACAGTATGGTACACACACAGAGGGTAATCTATACAAAACTCAAGACATGGGCAAACACAATCCAGAACACAAGTATTAACAATAAGCAAAACACTTACTGAAGCCATCTTGCCAGCAGTATAATATATTTTCTCAGTGTGTGACCAATGCATTACAGAGTTCAGATGATAATAAAGCAACTTTGCTTTGATAGGGGAGGCAGCTGGACACATAAAGAACAGGTCATTAGGAAAGCGACCGTCAGCGTTCCTCACATTACTACATGAACAGTAAAATGTTCCTATGTTCCCCCCTTTCCATCGAAAGTGATATTTATGTCTGTGAATGATCCGAGCTGGGATGACGTCAGGCCATGTGAGGGACAGGAAATGTACAGCATTCTCTGGGTCGCTGTCTCAGAAACTCATGGGAGGGACAGACCAACCATCTCGTCCAGAATATACATCATAATATTGCCCTCTTCTTATAAACAAGTCTCTCTGCTCATCCATAACCTCGTTACAGTCAGTCTTTGTAAACCTCAGATGTGGTCAGCAAAGGAACAGGCTAAATCCTTAATCAGTCATCCGAGAAAGTCTAGCTGTGGTCGGAGAGGCCAGTCTGAGAACTGAGAGTTACCTAAATAACACTCCTTCCACAGAATCCCCAAAGTAGTATAAAAATCCTGGATGTAGAGGAATGCAAAGCATGAAAATCGGTATTCTGCAATTGCTGTTACTGGAATCAGAAATTCTTCACCAAGCTCAAGTACCTTCAACCTTCCCTGTCCAATATCAACACACAGATTACAGAGGAAATGCAAATGTATTCCCTTAAAATTACCACAACCAGGCAATTATGTTATCAGTTCCCAGTAACATACATTCTGGCACTATTTACTTCATACCATTAAGGTCATATAAACAGCATATTCACATACTATTATATGAAACATACATTACAGCCTCGTCTAGCTAAGTGAGATTTTTGAAGAGACTTTTTTTTTATTTTTGCAATCCTTGGGAATTGCTACAGCAATATAATCTTAAGAAAATATGTGATGTGAGACTGAAAGGCAGAGCCAGAGAATGCAAAAGGCTTGTTTTTCTTTTCTTTTAACTGTCATGGTAATTTCTTTTCCTCCCTAAGCTCCCCAAGTGGATTGAGGCAACATCCTCTTTTCAGAGACTTGCTGGTCCTGAGGGCTGACTTTCCCAAAAAGGAAGTCTAGTCAGTTTGCCTGCAGGCCCCGGGGAAGGCAGTATAGAAAAGCCTGCCCCCTCCTAGCAAAATGGACATACAACAAAGCAGCCAAAGTTAACCACATCTCCTGCTGTAGGACACTATGACAACAGAGTTATCCACACTCCCTTCTGTAGGACACCATGACAGCAAAGTTAACCACACCTCCTGCTGTAGGAGACCATGACAACAGAGTTATCCACACTCCCTTCTGTAGGACACCATGACAGCAAAGTTAAACAAACCTCCTGATGTAGTACACCATGATAATGGTATACCACAGTATTTTCAGTAATTGTTATTGTGGGGACTCTCCTCCTCCCCCCACCTGGCAAATTTTATCTCTAAGATTTCAAAACACCGGAATAGTGTTGCCCTGAGACAACAGTAAAATAACTTTGCTGTGACAGGGGAGGCAGCAGGCCGTGGTGCTATTGATATGTATATCCGTGAGGGAGGGGTAGGAGAAGAAAAGTTACTTTAGAAATGTTCTCCAGTATGATTATCACTATTTAAGTAACGCAACCTGATTACTTTCTGTTACTTTTGGATTGCCTAAATGCCAAATGTGCACACAAACACAAGTGAAAACAAATATCAATAAGCTGAATTTTACTCCTGTTAGTATCGTGTAAGACACTTCAGATGTAGCCACTGTCAGACATCCCACCTCTCACAGAAGTTCTAGGAGTCTCCCGCAAATTGACAGCAGCTCCCTGACACCTGTGAATGAGGCACAACATGCCCACAGTCTGTAATTTCGCTATTCAGCTGTGATAAAATTACCAGACTCAAATTTTTACCACTGCAACCCCACTCCACCCGGTCAGCAAATTTTACCACCAGCACCACCCCCGCCCCAGCCAGCCAACATGGGCCTTGGCGGTATATAATTTTCAACACCCGCACACCATCCAGACAATATACTGAGGTATATGGTATTTTGACTGTATTTTCAAAAGCAATGCTATTCCGATATTTCCCAATAAATTTTGCTGAGGGGTATATTACTGTAATACTGCCCAAGCCTAGCAAGCACCACCTCCCTAAAATCAGTATGCCTGTGGTGGGTTGTCTCTATAGTATAGACAAATAAACACATTGAATTTTGTGACTGATTTATGTAATGTCAGATTAAAGTACAAAAGAACAAGAAAAAATGTTGCGAAATGAAACCAGTATAATAGAAAAATCTAAATATTCTCTGCAACTAGACACAAAATAGCAGCCAGAGGTTCTTCACACCCTGACACGATGGATGCCACATTAATCACTGTGGTTTATGCTTCACAGAAACAGTTTTCCTGTTATGAGTAGATGACTCATCTGTCTTTTCAGAGAAACTAAGAAAGCGAACATTAGGAAAGCATCTTCACAGGCATGGCAAGGTCAGTTGTCCACTGTGGCCCTCAGCACCCCCTAGCCCCACCCCCACCCCCACCCCCAGCACCGCTCTGGTTCCAGCAGTCTGCACTAACTGACTTGTTGTTATACAGATGTTTTCTGGGGTCAGTTATTTTACATACCATTTAAAAAGTGGATCAACTGAAGAAATTAAGCACATTGGAAGCCTCACCTACTATCACACGGGACCCCAGGGAGGTGCACTCACCAGCTGGAACTCGCTCCTGCGCCCATAGGCCTCGTGGATGCCAGCGTCGGCCCACAGCGCCTGCAGCGCCGGCACGTACAGCTGGAAGGTGCTGGGCTCGACAGGCACGCCCGCCTTGTTCTCGAAGGCCATCACGAACATGCCGTGCTTGGCGTTCTCCAAGTTCTGCCAGGCGATCCCCAGCTTGTCACGGGCATCCACCAGCACCCGCATGCCCTGGGGGGGGGGGGGGGGAGACCCAGAGCCAGTCAGTACCTGGGATTAGCACCATGGGGGCCTGTGAAAAAGGCCTGAGGCCTGTTACATTGCAGAAGCACGGACGTGTTTTTCAGCACAGAAGACATCAAGGGTAAAAGACAGTAGAAGACACAGAAATGACAGGACTTCAATCATTCAGACAACACCATGGATTGGGATTAATGTCATGAGTAAACAAAGAAATTTGTGTTTTTTGCACTTTTATAGCATGAAGCTGCTTTGGATGCTAGCTATGGGAACACTGATTCAGAGGGTGCTGCAAAGCCGTCTCATCTGTGCCAACAGTAGTGAAAGCTTCTCAGAGATCTGAGTCACATGTACGTGTGAAAACACAATCATTGAGACCCTGTCTACTTTGTGGTTAGCGGCATATTACTAAGGAGACTGCAGGTAACTGCAAAAACAAAGGCGAGGCTCATTAATCCCTTAACTGAAGAGCTGTGTACTGTATCATCTTTGGATCAGTGTGATTTATTTAAGACATAAACTCTCCCCTAATTTAATTTCTGTGCGCAGGATAAATAGGGTGTCCATTAAAGAACCTTCCTACATCATGTCATTGAGCTTGCACAGCCGGAATTAAGCCTCCCGGGAGTCTCACTACGTTCATGCAGAAGAATCGCCAGTGGCCCAGTGCAGTGGGGATGCTGCTCCAGAAACCAAAATAGTGGACCGGATTGGTGCTGAAGATCATCATTGACACATGCTTCCACTGTATATTTTTTGACCATACATTGATTGTGATTTTTAATACTCAAAGAAATATATTAGAAAAGCACAAAAATCCCAGGGTTCTTCCTGCAGCTGTCCAGAGCAAACACCTCACGCTGCAGACGCCCTCGTTTGAAGCCCCTCTATGCCTGTCATCCCTACCCAGGCCTCCCAGCTGCATTGCATTGCTGCAGGGGTCTTTGTTTGGTCTTCAGGGCAGATCTCCACCGCTGCCGGCCTCTCCTCAACACCCCTGACCTTTCCCTTGCTTCCTTGTGAGCTGGCACCACGTGGGAACTACCGGGGGGGTACAGGGAGAGCGGGATGGGGCTATCAGCCTTCTCTGCATTATCATTGCGCAGGACAATTGCAGAGGGGGGGTGTAAAATGGCTCAGCATCTCTGCAAAGCCCTCCAGATGTTCTCAGCTGGCCTCCCCTTCTGTTTCTTTGTACTGTCCCCCCTCCCCTAACTAATTTGGAGTCCATTCAAATAAGCTGACTTTGCCCTACAAAGGAGCTTTTCATCTGAGGGCTTGCAGTAAGCTGACCCAGAGCAGGCTAGTGTTCATCTTAACAATAAATTTTGATGTTTCCAAATACCGGGGAAATGGCTGGGAGTCTTTCTGACCTTGCATGTCTGTGATAACCTTGAAATCAGAGAACTTATCCGTGTGTTGGTGAGGCAACCTAAGAAACGCGGCAAACGCTTGTGCGGAATTACAGTACTACTCCTGAGATGCCTTCCTGCCCCGATGAGTCCTCCGTTAATGAAACACCTGTGGGGGTCAGATAGTCCCTCATCATTGTGTGCGCAGTCTCTGAAACCAGTGTTCCTCAACCGGGTCCTTGGACTAATTTGAGAAACTGTCATAAACTAATCTCAAGTACAGCATATTCAGGGAGGGGCACAGGGGCAACAGTGAAATGGAGGCTGTAAGCGAGTGCTTTCTACTAAGCGCACAAAGCAGAAATTGCACAATAAGTACGGCTATAAACATGTATTTTCACGCTATTTTGGGGACGACAAATCTCTCTCATGTCACAAATCAACTACAACGTCAAACAAAAAGAGAAATATATGAGATTGGAACATGGTTGGATAAAGTTACAGTTTCTCAATACATAAATACTTGCCCGTTACATAAAAAGGAAAATTTCTGCATTGCTGCTACACTGACTAGCTGATGGATATTCTGCACCTTTTATCCAAAGGTGCTTGACATCTGGGGATTTTTTTTGCGTAGTTATGCCCAAAAATACCAGGTAAATTTTGTGTATCCCCAGAATAAAACGCTAGATGAGTGCGGGTGAAACACCTGTGCTGGCAGAGTGTGGAGGGGTAGTTAAATCATTTTCTCCCACATTAGCAATGTTTCACTGATGTCTGAATCATCTAGTGGGGATTCAGGAAGCGGGAAACTGTGGGCTATGTGGCTAACGGTGCCAGAGAAGAGCCTGCCAACCCTCGCCCCATAGGAGCTGCTGCCCAAACCAGGACAAAAAGCACTATTTACTTCCGAAAACAGAATAGTCACTGGTGTAAAATCCTATTATGGCTGTCAGGCAAGTCCCACTTTAACAGATGGGATGCTTCCTCGAGTGGTGCCTGAGACCCGTGGATTGTGGGATTGCTGTGATATGGATTTGTCCAATCAGCTCGCATGCCTAGATCACATGACTTCTCTCGACGTCTGCTAGCCTTGGTTGGGTTAAACTATATATAAATTCAAGAGCTTACTTCATTATTTGTGCACATTAAAACCTACAAAATGCATAATTTAGGACTAATTGTTTTGATAACTAACATGTAATAAAAGTCCATCAGATTTTTGGGGGATTCTATTACATAAATAAACATTCTGAGAGATGAAAACTGATTTTTGATCTGCTCTTTCTATAATTCATATCCCATCTGATGGAAGTTATGACAATAAATAGGAAATGATTTTATTGTGATGGAAAAAAATGTTCCACATTCTCATAAAGTGCTATGTATACATACAGAGCTTTTGCGAATACAATTTAAAGAAGCACACTGACCAAACCTTGAAGTTCTTTAGCCCATCATTGTAAATGTGGACTTCCTTAATACAGGTGTTAATATATCAGTTTAAAACTTTATCTGACATGTTGACATGAACTTTTAAACGAAGGTTTGTTCCACATCATTTTGTTATGTTTATCAAGCGATTCGTCCTCATTTTAAAGAGGAAAAGGGACCTTAGAGATTCTGTTTTTCACGCTTCATCCCAGGAAAAACCAGCTCCAGCTGTCTGACGGCATTGGTTTAAGCTCTAGGATTTTCCCCGCTGCCCATTTTTTAGCCTGAGGTATTACTGCATTGTTGCAATGCGGCCCCCACCTAATGTTTTCGATCCCCACGCCCTGTAGCCTGACCAGATTCTGGGAATGTGTTTGTCAGCTCTGTTAAGGCCTGTACAATAGCTGCAAATGGTACCAAACTATTTTTACTATTTTTAAGCATTTCCTTTTCTTCAAGGACTATCAGGTTTATGTTATTTTTTCCACCTCCACCTATAGAAACAAATGTAGTCTTTTTGTTCTTTAGAAATTCCACATAATGTTTTCAAACACCATACACAGCAGGGAAACAAGCAAAGCAACACGTTAGCAGCACAAGTCTTAGTAGAATTTCAGGAAACAGCCAATCACATGGAAGCTCTCATTTAAATCTTATAGGGGATTCATAAGGAATGCTGCTGAACTTTAAAGGTTTTTCATTGGTTAAGGTGGAGGATAGTGTGGGGCCTGTATGTGTAGAATAAGGAGTGAAAGGCCAGCAGCTTCTGAATTTTTATCATGTAGCTTGGAGAGATTACGTGGGGCTGTCTTTATGGGTCACGGAAGATCAACCCAGGGGTCTGCTGATACACAGAAATAAAACACTAAAAGCTGCCAAAATAGAAGTGTGTCTACTATAGCCTAAAAGCTATACTCTCTGTAGATCAATAGGAGGCAATACCCCCCCCCCCCATGTCAAGTATGAGCTGAAGCCACAAGGTTAAGGGGGAGTGATTAAAACACAAAACTTCCCAACAGCCTGTGTAATCAGCAGAGCTGTCAGCCTGTGCCAAAGCTCGGCACGAACCGTAAGAACCCAGATCGGCCTGGGTATGTATCAGCGAGGGGCCATTACTGACCAAACCTGACCTTGAATCAAACAGATTGGTTAAACATACCTCCCCCGCCCTTAGTACAACAACAAGACACAAGCCTCCAGACCCAGGAACACTATGAAGTGGCCATATTTCTTAAATTTAGCCTGCCTGCTCATATTTCAAAGAGAGCAAAAGCACACCCAGATATATATTTTGTTTATATACTGCCAGAGTGTAAACACCCCACCCCCTCACACAATTTCCAGCACTCTCGTTTACCTCATTACCTTACTCTTTCCTGACCGTGCTTCTCTGCATCTTTCTGTGTGGGCTGTCCGTGTGGCGTTCTGACTGAAATAACCACAGGCCGTCTGAGAACTCGGGCTAAGCGATTCGTGGCGGCCCTCCCCGTCCTCAGCAGAGCTGCGGCACGGCGTTTAAACCAGGGCAGTCTCGCCTGTCGGCCATTCCGCCTCATCGTGGGAGGGATTGTCGTTAGGAGTGCGACAGGCAGACTCAGAGAGGAGGGGCATACAAGCTGTCAAAAAACAAGTTTTTAATTAAAAAGCCAAACTGAGGGGGGGGGGGCAGAATCCAGAGATTTCACACTGAACTAAATGCATGTGGTTTTGAACATGGATGCACTCTAACCCACCATGACACCAGAACTTTCTCAGACCAGGTTAGGGAAGAGTAGAGACGTGCATCATCCTGACATCATGTCGATGCTGACGGCCTGATTCCACTCAGTGTTTCAGAATGACTGATGGAAACAGGCTGGTCATGTGACTGAGCAGAAAAAAGGCACAACTGGGCCAGAAGTTCAGACATTCAGTGTGATGACACACAGGAAAATGACACATGGCGTCTCAGAGCTGAATCAGGGACAGTCAGGCACCGGCACATCATGGGCAGGACAATTCACTGGTAATGTGACCATGGGAAGGCCAGTGTGGGAGTACGCATCTTTTGAGGGGAGATGTGGGGTTCTGATCCTACGATGGGTAGGATCGCTGTACACTGCTAGTCATTGTCTGGTGTGATCTGATGGCAGCTTCTGACATAACCATGGAGACGTGTGCTACACAAGGCAGTGACTGACAGGGTCCTGAACTCTCATTACTTCCTCCCCCGAAGGGCATCACCTCACACCATGTCCAGAGGGTGGGGCTACCTCATTCCTCCTGAGAACACCCCAGAACGGCATGCTGCAGCTGTACACAGTCAAACTGTATCTTCCTAGTCATGTTCTTGTACTGAAGGAAGCTCAACGGCAAAGAATATCTGCTCGCAGGTCACATCACCACAACACAGTGAGGTCACCCAGGGGGGAGTCCCATGTATCTCAGCACAGCAGAGGACGGATCCTCCTACAGAAACTTTGCCTACTTCAGTCACCCATGCAAGTTCTCCAAAACTCAACATCAATGACAACGCAAGGCTGCATGTGAAGGTCATGCTCAGGGCACAGTAAGCACTATATACTCAGGGACAATTTTATGAGGTACAGCCTTTCTGCACAGCACTGCTGTACTGAGCTATTTTCTTTGCAGTTCTGGCCTTCCTGTCAACTTTAACAAATGATTCTCCACTACCCTCATTAGCAAGGTGTTCTTTGGCTACAGAAATGGATGTTGTTTATCGCACTATTCTCCGTAAACTCTAGACATTGTAGCGTGTGAAAATCCCAGGAAGGAGGCTGTTCCTGAGATGCTGGAACCACCATGTCTGGCACCAACAATAACACCATATTTTAAATTCTCAGATCACACTTACTGTCCATTCTAATGCCCTTCTTGACCCTTTCTGAGTGCTATAATATACCCACTCTCAGTAGGTGCTCTCCACGGCTGACCGTGAGCTCCTCACAAGCCTTGCCATTTCAGATTTGCTCTGACCCAGCGGTCTGACTTAGTGACTTAGCATTTTCATGTGGACAAAAATTTTCTAAAAAACAGGGTTTGTGTGGACAGGATTTTTTTCAATAATGGAGGAGGAAAACACCATTTTTTAAAATATCCGCATACGTGTGGAAAAGGCCTAAGTTGTTTAATAAACTAATTAACAGCCACGTTCCTGTCAGGGTCAGTGCGGACATGACTTCACCGTTATACCCATGTGCCTGGACAGAAATTACTGTATTGCAGCTGTGTGATATTCTATAAAATATTGATGCCCATCCATCCAGTGATGGACCTGTGGACTATGCAATAAGAAAAACATTAATTACTTTACAAAAGCCAGTCACTTATGATATTATTATAACATAGCAGACTCAAAGACATGGGGGGCGGGATCAGTCAAAATTAAATGTGTTCCCTTTAAAAACGCGGCCACATGAACTGAAACACCCCCCCAAGAGGAGATGGTTAAAGCCACATCGTTAATTGCTTTGTACAATTTTCAAAGCCATCCCATAGGGAAACACAAGTGGTCGGATCATGCAGGATTAGGTCTCGGTTCAGTCACACTGCTCTCTTATATGCAGCCATCCACTTAAAAAGGTAACAGCTATAATGACACTTATGGTGAGTTATAACAGTAATAGTGATATAACTGCAGTGGGTACCTAACCTCAAATTCTGCGGTATAAGTGGCAGCTCTGTAACAGCATTAAGGACAAGGGCCGAAAGTGGCCAGTTCTAGTACCCTTGAGGCACTTAACCTGAACAGCCACTCCAATATCTAGATATAAAAACAGACAAAGCTACAGACAGAAGAAATTATCCATCCATCCATCTTTTAACCACACATCCCAGTCAGGGGGGGCTAACTCCCTGGAAAGTGATATTGTTATTGTTATTGTTATTGTTATTATTGTTCTTGTTGTTGTTGGAGGCATGGAGGGTTCATGAAGCTCACACACGCACATAAAGGACCATAGTTAATACAATACTCAAACTAGTCAAACTTACTGTATACAAACTTATACTAATACAAGCTCTTTCATTTCTGCAGTGAGCGTGGAGTCTGTCCCACACAGGGAATGACACAGGGGACGCCCTGGATGGGATGTGCATCCTTCAAAAAGTCACCGATTTTTAAATACAGCAACTTATTGCATCTTCATTTGAAAAGTTAATTGTATTCCGGGAAGATGATGTATACCTTCAGAAAAACAAACTATATGTCAGGCTAGGAATCGTTAAGTCGGAGAAGTCGGATTTTTCTATTTATATACTAAACCGAGGCTTCAATGGTGCAGTTATTTGGCAATCGTACTGTGTAAATGTGAACAATATAAAAGGCCCATATGCGTTGAACTGCAATTATTTGAACTACGTTTATTGAGCAGGCGATTTCATTTCTTTTAAGTGTAATTAATTGGGTCACTTCTACAACTTTCACTCAAAAAACTCATGGTAAAAAAAAGCTCCTTTTTATTGCCTGCTAGCATCACATATTGCGTAACTGTTCTTTAGGAGACAACCAAAACAGCCCTTTCTACCTCTCAACAGCACAATCCTTCTGCATTCAAACTCTGCGAGGTTAGTAGAGTTTCAGTAACTGCAAGGGAAGGACGTCAACCTCAGAAAATGTTCCTCAACCAACATACTAATCCAACATACTAGTCTATTTTTTTGCACTCAAGTGGTGCATCAGTCGAGCTTACGCAGGGGGATGCATAAATATATGCCATTTCATGTCCCTTGACCCAAGGCATCATCCTGATGCTCAGAATTTACGTTTAACAGTGCTGACTTGCACTTCCTAAATGTCAAGGGTGTGATTGCTTTGATTGCTTAAGTCCACATTAAACTAATTAAAATGTAATTCACCAGTTTATTGCCCATGGTTCGGTGTTTCTAGTACAGACGAGATTCAGATTGAGTGTCAAACTTATTTTATGTAGGCCTTATTATAGTGTCAAAAAAGGTTGCCTATATCACATATGGACTTTGTATAGTTACAAAAAACATATATATTTATTCACGCATTAGGGTTTTCAATTCATAAATATTTTTAAATCTTTATAAACCGGCAGGGGACTTACTGCATCCCTATGGTATCACCTACCTTGATGATGTTCTCAAAGATTGTATCCCTAAAATCCAGAACAGCTTTCTGGTCGAATTCCTTCCCGTGGATAATCCTCATCTGTTTCAGGAACGTGGATTTCCCACTTTCTCCAGCCCCTAGCAGAAGTATCCTGACCAGGCGTCGGACGGACCTTCTGTCCCGGGCCAGCATGGCATCGATCTCTCGACTCCGGCGCTTGGCTTTTCGCTCCTGGTTCAGATCCCGGTTTCGCTCCCGTTCCTTCTCGCTACTTCGCTCCTGACCGGCTTCGGCTGGAAGCAGGCAGCGGCTCAGGGTGCGCATCACGCCGGCCATTCTTTCCAGTTAAGCCGACGCTGTGATGGACTCCTTCTGGTTCCTTTACATCTGAAACTTTCCCCGAGTCGCTTTCATTGACAGAGTCGCTTTAACAGCGCCGCAAGTCAGGCGATGACTAAAAAGTTAACTCACTTCCTGAAGAAAAACAACCCAGAGCCACTATTCCGCAAGTTTTCTCAAAAGAGAACAGGTCTAACTCTTTAAAACAAGCCACAAAAACTTTAAGCTAGGAATGAGACATTATCTACTTAGAGCAACATGAAATATCGATGCAAAAACCGAACCAGTTAAGCATATTTGTGCAGTAAATATTAACAAAATTCTTACTGCTCACTTACTAACAAGTTCACATCAATCATACCACACGCAAGGAAACTTTTTTCCAATTTTCAAATCATGCTCTGTCAACAAACTAGTATTCTCGTGAATATCTGGTTAAACAAAATATCTTAAAAACTGTATGACAGAATAATTTTGAGAGTAGTTCTGAAGAGAAAAGCATTGGTTGTGTTGCTCTGATATCTCAGTCGGTGCCTCTCTTTTCCTTTTCTTAAAACCAGCGGATTTAGATTTTTGATTGAGCTGCAGGTATGGGAACAGCCTGCAGGGGGCGCCGGCAGAGCCGTGGGTGGCGCATAGTATTGTACTGAATCTTTAACACTATTTGTGATTTTTTTTTTTCAGTTCTACCATGAAGTCGTTTGAACGATTTTTTTTTCTTGAAATCACAAACCAATATGGAATACATATGAATTATACTAAATCTGAATAGTGGTATCGATATGACAATATATGTGTTTATTTGTTTTCATATTTTGTGATGGTGGTTTACTCTTTCCATCAGACATAGGTCAGGAGTCTCAGGAGAGAGAAGATAGTAAAGGAAACCAATTAAGCAGTTCATTGCAAGAGCTTTAATTTTCTTTCTTTATCAGAATATGTTTTTGGCATTAGAATTGTCGATGCTGTTCTGTTTGTAATAAATACATTACATTTAATTTCTTATATTCATTGAATTCTTTGAAGAAACACGGGAGTCCCCGCAGTCCCCCACGATTAAGATTGCAAATATATGTCCCCATGAAAAAATCTGTCGAGGGATGGATTTTATATATATAGGAAAATAATGACAAATCGCTAAACTGTTTTAGAATAATTATTTTTCGGGGGACTGAGACATAACCCCTCCCCCCCCAAAAAAAATATGGTCCAGGAGCGCCTATGTTTCTGATTATGGCACTGTGGGTCGTCTTCTGAGGACGACCAGCGGCGCAGTTCTGTAAATAATGGACAATCTCTTTGTGTGGTCAGCAGGTGGCGCCATGAAACAATATTACATTTTATTTTAAGTTTCGGTTTTTTCTTCATCAAAATTATATTGCGAGTTTTTTTTTTCGAAATTTATAATACAAATTTTAGGCATTATTAAAATGTTACCCAATAAAGTCACAGTAACAATAGAGCACTATGTATAATAATTCGTTGAGAGGAAATAGAATTTATCACTGAAAGTGTCACATCTCCATTGTACTATTTGTAACATCGATAGTAGGAAAAAAGTCAAGACAAAACTATACTCTTTCTTGCTTTTCGCATGACTGACGACGTCAGTTTCCTGTTTTCAAGGGTTCGCTGCTGTCACTCTACGCTGTTATCATGCCAGCGGTCTCAGCCGTCACCACAGTGTCGCACCAGCGCCATCTCCGCTGTCGTTTATGTTTAGGAGTGTTCGAGGGAGTCTTTCTTTGGGTACCTTATAATAGTGGTTTTCAAGTGGTCCCAGCACTCTGAACACTTAAAAAAAATGTTTATCAGTTAAGAGAGGTGTACCACCCTTTTGGGGTGTGTTTATGTGTGTGTGGCGGGGGAAAGGGGGGGGGGTGTTTAACAAAGCCAGGGCCTGAAGATCAGTGCAAAGTGTAATGTGAGCACACAGGCTCTGCACGTAGAATTACTACCAAATGCACAGATTTGAGCAGCCCCTGTGAAACATTACCCAGTTACTATACGGATTTTCTGTCAGTTTGTGTATGGGCATGCTCTTCCTCAGTGTAGAAGACACTGTGTTGTTTCTCATTCAGAGTGCCAAGCATACCCTAGCAGAATCAGGGGCCCCACACTTTATAGGCCCTTAAAATTTACCCACAAATCCCATCTATTGTGGGACCCATGTTTCTTCAGATTGAAAGTGCCAACCTAACCGAGCAGCCCAAGGTGACAATTTGTCAGGGAGCCTGGAGTTTCTCACTCATCTTGTTTCTTATGCTATACTAAATAAATCAGAATAGTATCAAATGAACACCATTTATGAAATGTAACAATCAAACAGAACATTTTCCACTGATGTTTTATATAAATATTAAATGATGAAATGCAGTTTTTGAAGGTTGTTAGTGACGAGAAGCTACATTAAAGGCATTTTATTGCTACGCTCAAATCTGTGTACGGTGATGGAAAAATACCCTTTTGTGTCCTTGCAAAGCTGCAAGGATTACACAAGGACTGATGTTTAACTGAGATCCAGTAGTAAAAGTGAGGTGTTTGCGATTTCTGATGAAGATGGGAGGATTGGAGTGAATGAGGCGGGCACAAACCACAGGCGTTTCCAGAAAAGGTTGCTTATAGTGGGGGTTACGAAGACACAAAAAGCAGTGACTGTGCAGGGAGGTGCATCTTATTGACGTTGTTCCACTGCTGTCTGGGTCTTTGCACATTTACGCGAAAGAGCCGGAAAACACTGCATTCAACCTTACTGTACGCCATGCACTGCAACCCAGTAGATTTAAGGTCCCTTCTCTTTTTAAACCTCAGGTTTCCATCTAAGCGTGAGAGAACTGGTGTGTCCGGAAATCTCCCAAAAGCATGCACTTCTATTGCTTTTTGGCCACAGTGCCTGTTTCATGGATTTGTTTTGAACCTTGATTGCGAGGAAACCTTATGCAGTCATGAAAAGAAGGATATGCATGGTTCCATAGGCATATGGGAGAGTTTGATATGGGGGGTGGGGGTTGGGGGAGAGGACACAATGTAAAAATTTCAATGTAAAGGTCTGTTTTTTGGGGAGAATGAATGAAGCCAAATTAATTATATGGGGGGTACATGTCCCCCCCATCCGTCCGGTTCCTACACCTCTACAGTACATGGTTCTTTTATTCTGCCTTAAATGTTGGGCATAACAGAGTTGCTATCTCTCATTCATCTGACTCTCATGCTCACACGAGAAATCTTACGGCCAATCTACACTCACCTAAATGATTATTAGGAACACCTGTTCAATTTCTCATTAATGCAATTATCTAATCAACCAATCACATGGCAGTTGCTTCAATGCATTTAGGGGTGTGGTCCTGGTCAAGACAATCTCCTGAACTCCAAACTGAATGTCAAGAATGGGAAAGAAAGGTGATTTAAGCAATTTTGAGCGTGGCATGGTTGTTGGTGCCAGACGGGCCGGTCTGAGTATTTCACAATCTGCTCAGTTACTGGGATTTTCACGCACAACCATTTCTAGGGTTTACAAAGAATGGTGTGCAAAGGGAAAAACACCCAGTATGCGGCAGTCCTGTGGACGAAAATGCCTTGTTGATGCTAGAGGTCAGAGGAGAATGGGCCGACTGATTCAAGCTGATAGAAGAGCAACTTTGACTGAAATAACCATTCGGTACAACCGAGGTATGCAGCAAAGCATTTGTGAAGCCACAACACGCACAACCTTGAGGCGGATGGGCTACAACAGCAGAAGACCCCACCGGGTACCACTCATCTCCACTACAAATAGGAAAAAGAGGCTACAATTTGCACGAGCTCACCAAAATTGGACAGTTGAAGACTGGAAAAATGTTGCCTGGTCTGATGAGTCTCGATTTCTGTTGAGACATTCAAATGGTAGAGTCAGAATTTGGCGTAAACAGAATGAGAACATGGATCCATCATGCCTTGTTACCACTGTGCAGGCTGGTGGTGGTGGTGTAATGGTGTGGGGGATGTTTTCTTGGCACACTTTAGGCCCCTTAGTGCCAATTGGGCATCGTTTAAATGCCACGGCCTACCTGAGCATTGTTTCTGACCATGTCCATCCCTTTATGACCACCATGTACCCATCCTCTGATGGCTACTTCCAGCAGGATAATGCACCATGTCACAAAGCTCGAATCATTTCAAATTGGTTTCTTGAACATGACAATGAGTTCACTGTACTAAAATGGCCCCCACAGTCACCAGATCTCAACCCAATAGAGCATCTTTGGGATGTGGTGGAACGGGAGCTTCGTGCCCTGGATGTGCATCCCACAAATCTCTATCAACTGCAAGATGCTATCCTATCAATATGGGCCAACATTTCTAAAGAATGCTTTCAGCACCTTGATGAATCAATGCCACGTAGAATTAAGGCAGTTCTGAAGGCGAAAGGGGGTCAAACACCGTATTAGTATGGTGTTCCTAATAATCCTTTAGGTGAGTGCATGTTGTTCCATTAAAAACCTGAAACATAGCTGCATCAGTATTGTTTGGGTAGTCTGCAAACCCTACAGACTGTTTGCAGGGTAATAAACTCTTACATACATGTAAATGTATGCGCATGTGTGTGCAGACTTGTCTCGAATTGAAAATCTCACGCCAGCCAGAAGACCAAATTTGGCAGCCTTGCAGTAGGATCAAAAAAACAGGAGGAAAAAATACTCTATATTCTGCCCGTCAACATAAAAACTTCCAAATGAAAAAGAAATGAATTAACTGGCATAACCGGGCAACAAAGTAATTTACATTAATTATGAAGACCAATTCTTTCCACTGTTTCAACATGATAATACCATAAGCTGTAAGCTTCTGTATTTGTCTTGATGGAAATGCACCAGTAACTCACCAAGCTCTACCTTTATATTAGAACAGAAAAGACAGGTGTATTGACTCTATTTAACACTCAAGATTAAACAGGGGATCCCCCTTAGCACTTGTAAATGTCTTATGATTGTACATTGTGGATAAATGACTAAATATTACTTAGGCCTAATCACCGTTTGTTCAGTACAACTGTGAACTTCCATGAAATTAATTTCTCAAGACTGGCTTTTTAATTGCTTCTGCACTGTGTGTGTGCGCAAGTGTGGATTATGTATGAATTACATTGCAGGGACCAGATGTCCCCACAATGCAAGAAAAACTGTTATTTTGACATTGTGGGGACCACTTTTTCAGTCCCCACAAGGGGAAACTCAATTTTATAAAAATCAGTGACTGCAATAAAAAACTAAAAATGCCAAAAGTCTTGTTCTTTGTTTGGTTGCTTATGGTTAAGATTAGGGCTGCAAGTTGCATGTCTGTTATGGTGCCGTGGCACAGCACAGGTGGGGAAGAGGAGGATATGGTTCCAGTTGCGGTTCCAGAACAAAAAATAGGTTTTATTTAAGGGAAGCACAGAACACTGGGAATAACACAAAATAAAGTACCACGAGGTCAGAAAACTACAGCAGAACTTCTTACCAAAACAAGCTACAAAAAAAAAAGGGAAACTCAACCAGGGAGAAGGGCAACACAGAGAGCAGAACCAGGAAGGGGCTACAAAGACAAAAGCACATAGCAGCATTACACCAGCTGATACAGCTATATGCACAATGACTGACCAACAAATAGACCAAATGCAGGCACTTAAATACACTGATCACAACAATTAACAAGAGGCAGGTGTGGCTACACAGAGCGAGGGGCAATAAGGAGCAGATGAGGACAATCAAATCCACTGATCATTAAGGGCATGGGGCAAAAAGGCACAGGTGGGCTAGTACAATTAACATGCGCTTGGGAAAAAGGATGAAACACTAAGAGAACAAAAACTAGGCCAATCGAATGAACAGGAAACAAGAAGCAAGACAATGAACTGTATCTGAAATACCTATAGAAATGTTGAACCAGGAGAAATAATTAAAAAAACAACAAACGTTAATTAGTTGAAACTGGCCTCTGGCCAGCCTCGAACCTACACCCACAAAAGAAGAGGTAAGAACAGTGACCAACCCCTTAGCCAGTTAAGCCACATAGCATTATAGACATTAAATACAATAGAGCCAAAGGGGGTACAAGACAGAGGAGGGACTGAGATGGCCAGCAACACCTGCTGGCCAAAGGGGAACAAGACAAATAGGACAGGACCAGACAGGCACCGATCCAGACATTGTCATAGTTGGGACAAGGGTTTACTGTAGCTGTCGTAACGTTGTAGCGATTAGCTATCATAATGTCATCTTTGTGTTTAGGCTGGTGTTAATGGTTCTATCAGTCATGCAAATATCATAGGATATACAAGTATGTACAGTACGTAATATTTGATAAGGAAAATGAACAACTATGATAATGCTATGCTGTAATTTTTATCATTATTTAGCTATATAATTTAGCCTAGGTGTGTAGTGGGCTATACCATCCTAGCTGGTTTAAGTAGGTCTACACCAGCGTTGTCAAACTGCAGTCCTGGGGGGCCGGAGCCCTGTGTAGCTTAGTTCTTTCCCTGTTCTACCACAAATAATTCAGCTCAACAGCTATGTGGTAATTAGCACAACAAGTTGAATCAGGTGTGTTAAACGAGGGGAAACCCAAAAATGTGCAGGGCTCCGGGCCTCCAGGACTGGAGTCTGACGCCTGTGGTCTACACTCTATGATGTTTGCACAATGGCGAAGTTGCGTAAGAAAGCATTTCCCAGAATGTATCCCTGCAATTAAATGATGCATAGCTGTACATGTTCTGCGATGGACCGGGATCCCGCCCTAAGGTACACTCCAGCCTTGTGCCTTCTGTGAGCTCCAGGTCCCCAGCAAGCCTGACCCTGATTAGTGGTTGGAAGTCCTACTCACCATAAGTAACCCAGCAGAAATGGTTTGCTAATTTGCAACCTTTGACGTCGTGAACATCATAAAGAACATACGGAAGTTCCTGATAACTAGCGTGCAAGTCTTTCGTGCAAATCAGTAGTACCTCTTATAGGCTGTTAAACCACTACTGACAGACAATTAGGCAGCACTTACGTATGCAGCGCATATGGTCTAACGTGTCATTAATGCAGAAGCTCAATGTCACCCTATAGTGAGAACAGTGGCTGCAGAGCTTACGGTATAGTCATCCACTACTGATATCCATGCTCTAAGCAATTTTTATATAATGTAAATTATTACATGTAACGTGTTTCACAACAGCATATCGGTTCCCTTTCTCGAAAAACAGTGGAACATTGATTTACTGTCAGTGTTGTTGACAACAATGGTGGTTTCTAACCCTATCCTTGCCCCTCCCCCAACCACCACCACCTCTCAGCCCCCCTGTGCAAAACCACCACCAGCGAGACTGCCGCAATTTGAAAAGTGATCGAAAGGCGCCGGACAGGATCAAGCAAATTTTCCACTGTTGTTAATGACGCATAGGATCCAGGTTTTACTTTCCTCACACTGTTGTTATGATGTGGACCCCTCTAGGTGAGCCTGCAGCAGGGTGCCGTCGGCGGGGGCGGATGTTTGCCGGTGAGAGGGCTGTGTGGGCGGATACCTCTCATATCTTCTGCTGCCTTCGTGCGATCGTGAACTGAGCCTGGGAAGCCAGTTTTAAGATACATGGGGCACAGCCATCAACACCTTCTTCATCATTATATCATAATGCCCCCCCCACCCCCTTCCAATCCTACGATGAGAGCAGGCTTAGGCCATGTGTGAAGTGCTCGACCCTCATTTGCATGTAGCATACTGGAAAATTTTGTATTTTGTACTGCATTAAATTTGCTGCCTGTTCTGGGAAAGAGTTCTTAAAGTAGTGCTGGAAATAATGTTTTCTTTGTAATATGACATGCAAGGCCGATTGATATAGTTTACTGGCTTCAGCCTGACTTTGTTATATAATCCCTGATTTATAGACACCTTAAAGGATTGGACAGTATGGGGACCTTTGATTCCTACTTTGATACTCTGCTCCTTGTTAGTTGGGACAGGTGACAACCACAATGAAAACTAAACTTTATCTATAGATATTGGTTTGCATGCCTGTAATATAAAGCACATCTTAATTAAAAACACATCAATTTTTCAAACATATATCGGCGATTAGTTAAGTTAGTAAAGTGGTAAAGTTGCATAAATGTTCTTGGGGAAGTGTCACTTTTCAATAATGGATTACATGAAAAGTAGCCGTTAAAAACACGAAAACTATAGGAAAACATTTAATTTATTTAATAGAACTAGGGGAAATCATTTTGAGTCATTATAATTTTGATATTATTTGCATAATAATATTAAATCATTTAACATTAATAAATAGATTCTTTCAAAATATGCATTTACTGCATGGAAAATGAAGTGACATTAAATGAGCAGAGTATGTTTTACATATAAATATTTCAAATGCTAAAAAAAATGATAAACATGGAATCATCAAAAACATGAACTATTTGGGGGGTGGGGGCAGGTTTTTGCTAAGTCAGTGCCCCTTCAGAAGATTTGTGGTTGACCACCCATTTATATATATATAAAAAAAATACAGTTACTGCAGCAAGACTAACTGACTAACCTTGACTGACTAAGAAGTAAAGATCAGCAAATGTATGTCTGGATGAATCTATAACCTGAGCAACTCACAGGAATCAACCTAAAATAATTTTAACACATTTCAGTTATATGTATGACATGACTTGCATTAAAACAGCTGTAAGTAACAAGTATCAGTACAGTTACACCAGGCCATGTTAACTTCCCAGTACATGCTTTTGATTTATGAACAAGTATTACAAGTCTTTATTTTATCTGGCATTAAGTTGGGCAATTAATACCTTTTAAAATATTTCTTCTTGGATTCCAAAGATTCACAAGAAAGTAAATACAGAGAAGTGACTTCTTAAATCTAAATTCATCCACTTATACCACTCTGAAGAAAGTCTTGGGGTATTTAAATGTTTTCTTTTTTCAGAAAGTTTGCATATTTTTTAATACAGATCTGTTGACTCTTTGTCTTTAGCCCTTTACATTATAGTGTATGTGACCCTTAGTTCCTGTGACGGCTCCCTGGGAGAGCAGCAAACAGCATTTCATGGGCGTTACAACCAAAGCAGGGGCAAATGAAGGTTTCATCCAGCCGCCTGTAGTGCAAAGACAAAATGAATCAGTCCCTTCCTATTTAAAATCTCATGCCGCTTCTTAGCACCAAAACTCATCTCAGCTTCTTCTGTTTCCATTTGCACACTTTCAGTCCCCCCCCCACCACACACACACACAAAAACTTCTCCTATTTCCAGTTAATTTTCTGTGCTACATTTCAACTTTCATGAAAGTGTTGGTCCAGTAGAACAGAGAACTGATAGCCCATTTAACACCAAAGTTGTAAGGCATCTCTGTGGAGACTGAAATGGCATCTCTGAAATGGCATCCCTCAAAGCTGGTCCAACTCCACCCAGATGGTTTTCTTCTGCTCTTCCAAGATTTTGTCCTTTATGACCTTCAGCAGGTCCTCGACTGTGTTCCACGAGTCCGGTTCCACAGAGGCGTAGAGACATGGAAGCCCCTCAATCTCCTTCTCCTTTGACCTGCACATCTTCAGGAAGTCCTCCTCTGAGTCGACCTTCAGCGGCAGCCTCCTTAAGCACAGGAAAACAAACACGTTTTGTTGTGCTGTGCCAGGAATTACCAGGGCCCATAATGCACTATAGTCTCAGCAGTTTGGGGAAATAAATCCATGTAAACATTTCGCCTCGTTTTCTCACCAGAGTGAGTGGGAAGCCACCCTTGCCTACACTATGTGCTATTGTGTGTCCTCCTGCAGACTTTTCCATCTACATGACTCTTTCCATGGCTTTGACCTTTTGCTTCTGGCGTTTCACTCTCTGCATAAGCTTTTAAGTAGCTCATTTTAGATACCGTTTATATTTCAGTTTATTCAAAGTTCAACCCGAGCACAGAAGTGAAATCAGAAACGTCAAACAGGTACAAGAAGAGGGGAAAAAAAAGCAAGCAACCCATGCGGGCCCAGAAACGAGGCCTCACCCCAGGCTGAGCCCGAGAGCCTGAGAGCGTGTTGAGTCCCACAGCTAATTTGCAAACCCCCGCCATGAGTTCCCCCATCAGTCAAACATAACTGACAACTTATTGGCCTGGAGAAGACGTCTCAGCTGGGTCAGGGAACCTGAGATGACAGCTTCGCCGGAGCCTCCGTGGACTGTCGCCCTAATCTGCATATGCTGTGACTCTTGTTTCTCCCTCACTCAGCTCTTCTGCTCCCTCTTGGCCTCCACAGTACATTCTGCGGCCTGTCAGTCCACCGGATGGCGATAATGCGCTCAACATAATTAGGCAGGACTGTCAATCACTGTCTGAACCAAATTAGGGTAAAACAGATAATACATTCACAGGCAGGACGGTGGTAAAACATTAAACGGTCAGTGGAGAGCTAATGGACTGAACTTCTCTCGCTTTAGTAAAAAAGACAACACTGAAGCACTTTCTGAACACTCTGAACAAATCTTTTTTATACATATATACAGCCACAGAAAAAATTAAGAGACCACTCTATAGTTTTAAACAAATCTGCATTTTTAAATCCGGGTTTAATCCTGGATCTGTTGGCAGAAGGCCACCCTGCGAGGCTGGCTGCTTCCAGGTTCAAAATTTCTATGATAGCAGTACACAAGAATGAGCTGAAGCAGGAGACACTGGGAACGACCAGAAATCAGCCAGGTAGAGAGCGGAAGTGACTTTCTAATGCCAGAGATGACCGTTAACTTATCAGTTTCTCATGAATCGTAGGATGACATCAAGTGGCCTTGAAAAGCAATGGGAAACATTAAGTGCAGGCGTGAAGTGCACTGCTAGGACAGTTTGTATCAGGCTCCTAGAAGCAGGACTGGAGTCCCATATAGCAAGGAAGAAGCCCTTCATTAATGAGGAACAGTGAAGAACCAGGCTGCAGTTTGCAAAAAAATAAATGTATGTATGTATGTATGTATGTACATAAAATTCACAGACGCAGACCCTTAAATTGAAAAATGAGTGAAACAAACAATTCTGCTGTGGTCTCTTAATTTTTTTTTTCTTGATATACAATGATATTTATATATAGGTACATGGTGCACAGGCAGCCAGAAAAGTAGGAATGAGGATGCATATGACATGAAGAACGAAACCAGATGCTAGAATATTTTGCTGTTTGTTTTAAAAATGAAAGGTGCAAAGGCAGACTTCCTCCACTTGTTTCGTTGACTGTAGTATGTACTGGAGGAGTGAGCTATCTTTGAGTCAGGAAATAATACTTCAAGGTACAGAGCAGGGGCGTTGTAAGTCTGTGCAGAATAACTATCACAGTTCTAACTTTCATACAGTAGCTATAAATACTTTGAGATGACTAAGTACAGTTTTATTCATCTTGATACTACCTTTAATTTAAGTTTCTACATACCTTAATTTTTTAATATTCTTCTCGCTGGTTTTGATGAAGATGATGATGGGATATATTTCCCTCCTTAGCAGATCTTTAACGCAGTTAAGACCGGCTTCCAAAAGGCAGTGCTTGTTCTAAAAACGAAACGAAACAAGCAGTTTGAGTTGGAGGCCTGTTTGCAAAAGCAGAGAAATCTGTCTTCTGAAACCACTTATCCTATTCAGGGTCATGGGGGTGCAGAGTCTGTCCTGGAGGCTACAGGCAGAAGGCAGGGAACAACTCAGTAAGATGCACCAACCTGTCACAGGACACACTTGTACACCATGCAGACGGTGGGTGGGGGGGGAATCCAGAGTACCCAAAGGAAACCTCACAAGGAGAACATGCAGACTCCACACATGTGGAACTCTAGCAGAGACTTGAATTCAAGTCCCAGAGGTGAGAGGCAACAGTGCTAACCACTGCACCACCTCATAGAGCAGTGCACTGCAATATAATAAAATAATACTGAAAACCTGGTGACAGAACCTTTGTTCGCAAGAAAAATCTCTCCCAGGCTCCGCAGCCTTGTCAAAACCATTCCTTAGTTATCTAAGCAGTGGAAAGTGTATGTGATTTTGGTTCTCTTAGGAAATAGTGTGGCTTTGGTCCTTTAAAGGACCTCCTGACTGAAATAGACTGATATACCTCCTTCTTAATGCATATAAGACAATGAAAAAAGAAATCTATCACTGGTAGCCTTTCATATTTTTTTGAAGATGTATATATATTTGATCCATCCAACCATAGGTAAGCAAGTCCTAGCTGATATTAGACAGCATTAAACATTTCATTGATGTCTCCAGGGAATCCAGGAAATCCAAAAACAAAATAATGGGCGACCACAGCTGTCCCAGCTAGCTGCTCCTGGTTCTGTCTCATTCAAAGCTGCTGAACACATTGAACATTCTGTCCTCGTCTTTCCTTGGATCGGCACTTTCAAATGGCAAATAGCCTTCATTGTACCAGGTGCACGTCTGAAAGTCTTTAGTACCCTGCAGCAATGAGCGGGTTTAATAAGGTCTCCGGGGCTGCAGCCAGACCACCCCCGCCCACCCACCACCAACACCACCACAACCTGTAAAACCAGCAAGCCAGGAAAACTATGCTGTAAATCACCTTGCTCTGTGGGTAATGAGCTAGACTTGTTCTTCTTGGCGGCTGCCCCAGTTAGTGAATCCCAACCACTGAGCATGACGTCCATGAGTCCGAACCAGGAAGATTTTGTGATACACATTTAGGAACCTTTGCAGTTAACATAAAGAGACCTGTGCCTGCTTTTATCACTTTCAAATACGTCTTTCATCCCCCTATCCAAGCTGATGGATCAAAGGGTTTAGCCAGGCTTAGAAACACTAGCTTGTAGTCCAATGCTGCTACAGTCCAAGCCAGGAGCAAGTGCAACATAGCAATATGCTCCAGTTTGGTTGAGAAACTAGTTTGAGTGGTATTATTCTGCTTTGTGAAGGTGGTTGTGTTGATATTTAAAGCTAGGAATGAATGAAGATCACAATGTGCCTGTTTCTGCAAGCTTTTGTAATTGATTCTGGCTTCCTAGCCAATGGTCTCTCAGGGTATGCCTTAAATGATTCAAATGTTACCTTCGCAGCCACTGCCTCGATGTTTTCTGGGGTGATACACTCAAATGTATTGGCATGCTTCTCTTTAGAGTAAATAATAGGCTCGATCTTCTGCTTCAGCTGAAATTCATCCTTGGTTAAGATGTCTGAAATTCAGGGACACAAACAATGAGGGCAGGTTATTAAGTTGATGAAAACAAGGTGCTGGTAATCGGATAAGCCCAATTAAAACCATACGAGTGCCACTTTGTGATGTAGCTGTGAAAAATTTTACATTTAATGACATCAGGTCTGTTGTTCGTGCTGTGATGTTAAGAGGTGCTCCAGTACAACCTCATTTGCATATTTCAGGACAATAGTATTGGCTGTCTCTTTTGTTCCAGTATGTTTTGTTGTTTTATTACTGCCCCCATTATGCAACACCACTTAGTGGGTTTACTCTCACATTTAAAAACAAGAAAGGAGGTCAGTCTTCAGTTATCTGACCTATATTTGCCAATTAGGAGCCATTGTTCACATCTGACCTCACAAGGCTCCCACATCTGCGGTGAATCGTAACGCCAATTACCCGGCTTGCATATGTTGAACTCCATAGCCCCTGCCAGGTTCAGAAACTTCTGCACGATGGTTTTGGCCAGAACATTGGGTGCAAAGAGGACGGGCCTCTTGCGCTGACAGTGACACTGAGTCACATGACTGTAGGGAATGAGATTCAGGCTTTTGTTCAGGTCGCTCTCCGCATCCAGGTCTGAAATGAACAAATGGTGACATCATTTAAAACGATAACATGATGACAGCTGATCTTCAGATAGGTCCAGTGCTCTCCTGATGAGCGAGGCTGAGAGATTACTGAGAGCAGCAGTAATATTTTAGCCACAAACATCCATCGGAGTGATCCTGGGTATATGCCTCACCCTCCATACTTATTAAAGTTCTTCGAATTGTCCCAGGGATACAGTTACACTTATTGTAAAGTCTGCAATTTAAGCCCATGTTGCTATATTATGCAGGTCTCAAGGCTGGATCAGCTGAGGTTGGCTAAATAGGCCAAAATGATTGGGAGGAGACAAAAGTCTGAAAATTGTTAGCGAAATGCGCTAAGACATGTAGCGAACTGGCAGTAGACTTCTAGCATAGTAGCATGTGACAGTGTTCAGCTGACGGCAGCATACTTCAGCCTTTGATGCACAGTGGCACATTTTTATGGACACAGAAGTGCAAGAGAGAGCTGATGATGACTAAAAACAGGATAAACATATATATCAAAAAACACAAAGCTGTACCCTACTATCATCGATGGCCAGAAAATGAGTAGTTTATTTCGAATATCTCTTAAAAATAAGATCACCGCAACAAAAACGATTTTTCTTGTGTGGAATAATCTTTGAAAAGGTTGAGCTGGATTTAAGAAATAGATCTCTTGCAGATCTATTGCACTCTTGTAGACGTCTCTGTTTACCTTCGCCCTGAATATTTCATGGTGTCTTGAAATGAAATTATTGTATGATCTCAGCTACTGTTGCGCTTGACCTTCAGCCGGCATATAGCTGCTTAAAAGCATATGAGGAATAAAATGATCTCATCTAGAGACTTTTTCATGCAAAGTCGCAATTTTATGAGGAAATAATTCAGGCAATGAAGACTTTTAGGTTTATGAAGGTTCTGTTGCGAAGAGCGAGAGTGATTTGAGCAGGAAAGCGGAACACTCTTGACAGAGTTCCTGTAGCAAATTGCAAAAACGGAGTCTCTCACCTTCTGACTTCATGGTTTCAAAACCAGGGCGAGAGAGTGTAGAACTCGACCCGTTGACGATCCGGACCCTCTCGCTGCTGTTCAGCCGTTTGTACTTATTGTCGTTCCTGCTGACGAGCTGCCAGGAGTCATAACGGGGTTACAAAGCAATGCCATCTCCACTAACCCCCCCCCCCCCCGCATCCGCAAAAGCACAGAAAGTAGGCCATTACCTGCAGAAACTGACAGATGAAGAAGCTGGCACGAGAGAGTCGGGGGCTGGACTTTGGGTCTGGGGGTGCGGGAGATTCTTCAGGCTGCAGTGTACTCTAGGAGTGTCAGGAAGAACGTGGGGAGTGAGATGATGATCATTGCGGCTGAGTAATGAATACTGTGTCACCTGGGGGGTTTACATCTGTATGAGGCTCTCACAGCAAACGGCCACATCTCTCGTAATGCGTATCTGCATGCCAAAACAGCAATGCCACTGGCAAGGTAATTTCTCAATTCCTCCCCAGATGGGGAGGGGGGGGGGACTTGTACAAAATGAATCATTTGTGTCACAGAAACTGCATGATTTATAGGCAAAGTCACAAGTAAATCCCACACATACATCTTAACTAATATTAGAGAAAAGGTTGGATTTATCATAATAATCCTTAATCTCTGTTGCTTATTTCTCCTGTTGGATTGAGATATTTTATGCAGTCACAAAAACATCTCCTGAAAGCTCCCAGTCCTGGGATTTCGGTTTTAAAAGCCTTGGCTTGAAGTGCAGATGAGGGGCTCAGTGAGACTGTAGACCAGGAGGCACCTACCCTGAACCCACGCAAGGTTTCTGTCTCATCTCTGCTCCCCCTGTAGATCAGCTTCTGGATCTTCACCAGGAGAAGCTGCTGAGCCCTAGGGAGGGAGAGGGGGGGGGCAGTCAGAGAGGTCAGACAGTAGACCACGCTCTGGCAGCTTGGCGCTTGACTGTGACCAAGCCCCAGAAAACAGGTCAGGTCTCTTTCAGATGCCCACTCAACACCTGTCATGCGGGTAATTCCGTACATCACTCTTAATCATCCACAAGCACTTAATCAGGGCGGGGTCACAGTAAGTGTGGAGCCTATCCTAGGAAGAGCAAAAAGTGACAATTGATGACCGTGCAAGGACTGTGTACAGGTCATTTTTCAAGACACCTATGGCAGGGAACCCTCACAAACATGTGGGAAAACAGGAAGTTCAACACAGCCGGCTTGCCATATTCCTCAGTGTATAGGGGACAGGCGATACTGCCTGGAGTAGCTGGGGATGGCAGGGAACCCTCACAAACATGGGGGAAAACAGGAAGTTCAACACAGCAGGTTTGCCGTATTCTTCAGTGTATAGGGGACAGACGACACTACCTGGAGTAGCTAGGGATGGTGCCCCTCTCCAAGTCCTTGTCGGTGACGCCGTCGACACGTGCGCACAGCCACTCGTGCTTGCCGTTGTACATGGTGTCCAGTACATGGACAACCTCGTCGCAGCGTGCCGACAGCGTGCAGTTGTCAGATGGACCCACGTTGAGGTTGAGCCTGATGTAGAAGGAGTCTCCAGACACCACAGAGCCCTCATCCATCTCTCTCTGTAACTTCTTATAACCTGGGGGGAGTGACAGGAAGCCATCCAGTAATTAAAGCACCTACAGTAAACCCCAAACTATACCCAAGGAGGTCCAATACATCTAACATCAATGACATGATCTTCATTAATTTTACATGCACTTCATGTAAAATTCTTTAGATGAAAATGTACGCTCCATAATTATGTTTTTGATCACAAGATCCCTATGGAGACAGCACTAGCTAGATCAATGAGCTTCTCACACAGCTGTTAGGTTAATGAGGAGATCTTTCCGTTACCATCGATGTTGGACTTGAAGTGAACCTGGATCGGTCCTGTGCATCTTTGTAAGGTCCAGTGGACCTCTTCCTTAGTAGAGGTGTCCAGGTTCACACTCTGGTTCTCCCCGTGGATACAACCTGCAAGCTGGGACCAGGTAGAGACACAAGATGGGTCAAGATGGGGGGGCGGGGGAGGGTGGTTACAGGGGTCTCAAGCACACAAGACAACCACCAAGAAGCTTTGTATTCAATTTTGAAGAAGGCTAACATAGAGGATGGAATAGTACAAGGTAGTACTGATTACAGTGGATATATAACACAATGGACAAGTATGTGAGGAGTGACAACATTTTGGTTGTGCCATCTCCATGCCGCCCTACATTCCCTCACCATCAGGAGGTGGTGCCCCTCTTTCAGGCCTGCCCGGTCTGCATGGGACCCAGGCTGGACAGAGGAGACAAAGATGCCGCTGTCATTGCCCCCCACCAGAATGACCTCAGACAGGAAGGAATCCCCTGGAACCGTGACGTCTTGTATCGGCCGAACGGTGCTGTTGAGGCGCGTGAAGGAGTTCAGAGATGGTCTGAAGGGCCTTCAGAGGGAAAGCGAAAGTGGGAGCGTGGGGGGAAATAGAGAGAGAGAGAGAGCCACACACACACAGAAACAGAAAGAAAACCACACACACACACAGAAACAGAAAGAAAACCACACACACACACAAGTTAATCATAGGGAATAATTTAATCATGGACATATCTTACTGCACTGGCAACACCAGTGATCAAGTTCCCCGAAACAAATAAAAGCATTCTAAAAAAAAACATGTCTGCGTTCAGACTGACAGGGTGAAGGAGAGAAGCACGATGAACAAATAAAACCCTCCGGCTGTTTTTCAAACAGGGGAAAAAATTTACCAACAAAAAATCATTTAGCTGAACCTTAAGACATTTCCCTTGCTTCCTGGGGTGAAGTAATTAGTTCCAAAATGGTGGTGGGTAGTACTTAATGGCCTTGGCACTGATATGTAAACAAGACATAACAGGACCCCACAATTAATGTTATTAATATCGTACAAAAACAAGATACAAAAAACTGCCAGAGATGTTTATTTTTTATTTTTGATTATCTACCACGATATTTTAAATGGTGCTTTTAAAGATGGATATTATATGCCACAGTGCCTTCGTCTTCTAAGTCTGTATTACTAATTTTTATTTGAATATGTTGAGAGAAATGTCTTTCCTTGATTCTAGGGCAATATGTATCAAAAACAGTTAGTACAAGCCGCGTTTAAACATCTCTTGAAATATATCATTGGCACAGACCAGCCTTGTTTCCCCATCAGTGGAAAAAACAGGCCTTACAGTAGCGAAGATCAAAGGTTTGAGTAGGCCACTAACATGATGCGTTGTGACAGTTTTTATTTTCTGTTTTTATAGAGAAGCATGGGGTCTGATCCTTGATAAGACAGAGGGCGACTCGATGTGACAGTCATGGCGCTTTGCGGCCAGCTGGCAGATCCCACGCCGTTCCTGGCCCGCCTCCCATCCCAGACACAGTACGGGAGCAAACCTGTGGACAGGAAGCTCTCTTACCGTTCCAAGGAGAACTTCCGGAAGATGTTGTTGACTTGCTCCAGGTCATAGGACTCGAAACCCTCGGATTGGTGTGAGGAGGAGGAGGAGTGAATGGAGGGAGGCCCGTGAGATGATCTGTCAGTGTCTTCATCTGGAGGAACAGGTTGCGGGAGGAGGGATGGGGGGGTTCCTGGTTAGAGGCACACCGTTAAAAATCCACAGCAAACATCCAGAAGCATCTTTAGAAGTGACCTTTAAGGAACAGCCTATGAGCAAATGTATCATACAGTATGAAATTATATTAAAACTCAAAAATACACAAAAGGCATGGTACTGTACCAATGTCCATGTTGTCCCCACTGTCACATTCAAAGTCACAGATGCTGCAAACAATAAACAGGTGACACGTCATCATCACCTTTGTGAAAAGCACAACAATGTAAACACCATGGCGTGGATTCAGCAATTTTAGATTCTTATAATATTCGTCTTCCATTTTATTACCAGAGAACACTTAAAGATTTGTGCATCCATCCCATAATAATATCAGACAGATTTTGGTGAGGAGGGGGTGGCGTACCTTTTTAGTGTACTTATGTACCCCCCCTCTTTGTTCCTCCGGACAATGGAATCATTCCCCGGTGGCTCTGGGAATGTGGACCACATGCTGTCGTTGCGAGAGCGCAGAACCTTTCATACGATGGGGGGGCAGAGAATCACACATGATGCATGTAATCACATGGCAGACAGATCACATGACCGGTCACCAGTAGCCGTTCCTGCTGCCTAGGGCCAGCACATCCTAGTTTGCCTTCCCGTGACACACATGTTAATGAACAGCAAACTGTCTGTCAGTACTCTCTCTCAGATCATCTACTAAACAAATATCTACATACAGTATATTGTCCAACGGGAATCACGTGTTTTGCATAAACCTCAAAGAGGACTTCTGTTCAGCTAACAATGCATATGTAGTAAGCAGAAGTTTTTTCAATTTTTTATAAATTACTCAAATGACTCTATCAGTTATTTTTGCCTGCAAAGCTCCTTGTTGGATTGGTTAGATACTTTTCATCTAAAGTTAACCATATTCTGGCATCTAGCAGTTGTTTTAAGGAACACGTCAAATCTGCAAAATTCGAGCATAAAACAAACACAAATATTTACAGCCAATACTTGTTATATATGATGATTGTCATTGTAAAGCATTATGGTGCCTACCTAAAGCATAATAACAAAACTGAAGTCATACATTCTGATAAACACCTACAATATGCAAAGGGAACTGCAAGAATCATATTCCCTTATGAGTGATATTTACAAAACTCAAGTAAAGATTAAAGATTATGAAGAAATGGCACTTTGACCCTGAGTTGGACCACTTGGAGCACAGACACATACGTTTTTGTTGTACATCTCCTCAGTGCCAGCAGGGGTAACAGGAAAGCTGTTACAGCTGGTGGAGGTGGTGATCATTGAGCTGGTTTCTGTGCTGGCTGCGTCCGACAGTTCAACGGGGGTGGATGCTGCAGTGAGGGATGAAGGAACAATGGGGGTTATCTCACAGTGACAATCAAACGCCCTGCGCTGGTTTTTGCATGCCGTGGCAGTGCCAACCAGTTACCCTCTATTATACGCTCTATGTTCGTACAGCTGTCATCCATAATATTACAGGTAAATGGTCGTAATTATTGAATTAACATTAGGATACTACTTTTTGGAGCGCTTCCATCAACCTGTAGCCTGCTGATGTTCGTATTTTATCTGTCTCACTTACAGTGTCACGCACAGTGAGTCACACAGCCATCATAGCATGAAACTAGAAATGCTAATTTGCATGAAGATACTGGCAGTGCACAGCTCTGAACACACACACGTAATGGGAGAAGTGAAACCTGCGATGGCTGGGATCATTGCGAGCTGTCAGTCATGGCCTACACCCCCATCATTCACCAGTGTCAGAAGTGTTTTCTTCTTACAGGTTTAGTACCTTTTAGTCACTGTACACAGTACTGAGGGTAGACCTTATGTACAGATAGTGCTATGAGGTTAGGCCATAAGTACAGACGGTACTGGGAGGTCAGGCTATAAGTACAGACAGTACTGTGAGGTTAAGCCATAAGTACAGACAGTATAATATGGTAAAATATCTTCAAGTGCATTTTACCTTGAAAATCCAGGGATTTGGGGGCTGTGACTGGAGACTTGGCTCTAACATTCTGAAAGAAGACATATGACAAATACCATGGTGATTTTCCACTGCTCCGTATCAGAAAGACTCCCAAAGTGGCATGAGAACCACGCATTGCCCCTCACCCTCAGGTTTAGTTGACGTTTAATCCGAGACCCTGGGAGGAAGAACTTTGGGTCCACGGGGGACTCCTCATCAGAGTCATAGTCTTGACCATCTCGTTTGGCATCCTGCTGACTGCAGGTCAGCGTCATAATAGGCAGAGGCATGTCTCGAGGTAAACTCTAACAGGGACACAGTGTGGGCAACACAGAAGAAAGTCAGAAGAGCTACCATCTGGGTATTTCTACATGTTACTACAACCTAGATCTCACTGCTTGCATTAAGCATGTATCAGTTGTGTAATGAAGCATCCAAAATTAATTTTAAAAGTGTTAGTTCATCAAGCATGTTATATTAAAAGATTCAGAAATCGGATCTATCGCAAAGTCCAACTAAAATCAAGATATTGTTGCTATGCAACTGGACCTGAAAAGTAAACTGCAACATAAACAGACTCTTCATAATTCAATTAACAGTGATAAATTATATCACGGAGGGCACTCATTAGATCAACTATTCTGATACATTGCATTCATCAAGATGTGAATAAAACAATACGATGGAAAAACAGCAAACAACTGTGTGTCTGATGGATGGATGGACAGCTTTTCTTCACCTGGTCCAGACCATTCTCCTTGGACAGACGCCTCAATTTGGCCTCCAAGTTGACGATCTTGGCCTCCTTACGCACAATCTCAATATGCAGCTCATCACTCCTCTCCTCTAGGTCGCGGATTTGCTTGCGGTACTTGTCTTTGTCAATCAGGCACTGAGAGAACTGGCTCTGGGCTTCGTCACGGGAGCGGAAGGCCTGGGAGGCAGGGGATGGAGAAGAAAGATGATGAGGTGGTGGTGTCCGTTTCATTGAAGGAGAACATCTCAGGGAACGTGATGGTTCACCTGGTCCCGCTCCCGCTCCACCTCCTCCAGCTGCACCATGACCGTGTTCATGCGGTTCTTGTACATTTCGCAGTCCTTCAACAGCGTTGAGCACTTCAGCTCCAGGTCTTCTTTCTCCTCCAAGTACTGCAAGGGTGCGCCAGCATAGTTAACGTGTCAAAAGCTCAAATCTATGCAAATTTGTGACTCTGACTCTAAGGTTCACCAAGTGGATGATGCTCCTACAGAAATTGTTTTCTCTAAGGCAGTCTTTACTGGGACTCTGTAGAACTTAAACAACCTGAAAGCATTACGAGAACATTCTTAGTGTCCCCAGAACACTCTTCCTCTATCAAAGATCTACTTTTCAGATTCATCAATGATAACAGTGAAGATATTTGATTCGATTTACTGCGCAACAGATCAGTCAATCACTTGTCTCACCCAGTGGAATGGCCTGTTAATCACAAGCTACTCCTGATGTGTAGAATACAGCTGCAATCTTACATCTGTGGGGTTTCTTTTTCGTTAGATCGAAAGTTAAAAACACCCCCTGAACCTGGAGTCATATTCAGTCAGCCAGCCATATTTGAAGGTATGACAGGAACACACAGACTCATTTTTTGGGTTACGAGTAATCGCCGACCGCCCCCACAGCAAAGGCTTCCAGAAGATTCCACCGATGTCTCAGATTTCAAGCTTTTTATGTTTGATTACAAGATGCGACATCCATCAGCCAATGCTGATCTAATTAGCTATTTCTGTCATACTGGTGCAGCTGGTTGGCAAGTAGACTCTTTCTACTGTAGCTGTTTCATCTACCTTGACAAATCTTCATCAAACCTTAACTTAGAAATACTGTCAAAACAACTAAAACCACCTGCAGCAGTGATAATCTAGGACGCCTCCAATGATAGTTTAGGGACACATTGAGCTCTTTTGCTTGGTCTCACCTTGTCCCTAAGCTCTTCAGTTTGCCGGACCTCCTCGTGCAGGTTATATAGCTTGTTAACCAGTTCCTGCCGGTCCTCTAGGGCCTCCATGCGATCGTGTTCCAGGATGTCCACAATTGCTTTTTCTGAATCAGGCAGCACCTGCTTCCCTGGCTGTTAACCAAATAAGAGAGAGTCAAGATGGCGGTTTAAGATTAAATCATGTATAAATAAGGCCACAAACAGCAGGTTGGAGTCGTTCAATATGGTAGCTGTTTTGGATGATAATCATATTATAATTATACAGCATATGATAAGGTTTTGTCTCTTGATAAGATCAGGTTTTGTTCAAAGTTCATGTTTGAAAAATCCACGTATGACGAAAATGTAATTTTAAAAGTACTCTCTTGTGAAAGCATCAGTAGTACATCACTTAAAGAAAAAAAACATTAAAGTATATGGTAAAACCTTAATGGGAATGACATTTTCCCCACACAATTCAGTACATCTTCTCTCCAAAACTTCTTACTAAAAAACCCTGTAACCTTATCTGATCTAAATTTAAATGTCATCAACAAGCACATTTCCTATTAAATTATTTTCACTGCAGGGTTCATTGTGGTTTTGTGTGGATTCTTTTAAGTGTTTTTTTTTACCTGTGCCTATCATCTATCCACTTCAGATCAAAAGTGTACGCCAACAAAATTTTAAAGGCACAGTATAACAAAGGTTACCGCAGATGATGGTATAACCCTACAAATCGCGAGGCACTGTTTCCAGGGTAATTGCTGTGGTCCGGCTGCTGTAATGCTGTAAAACACACTATCTAGACATTGCGTAAATTCAGCCTTTGGGGGTGGGTCGATTTAAATGGCCATTACGCGCCCCTCACCCTCCCTGCCCTGTTCTTGCTCCTCAAATGAATCACCTGTATGATAGACTGCAGTTCCTGAACCTTCATCTTCAACACCTCGTTCTCCCGCTCCAGCTCAAAGATCTGCTCCTTGCGAGGGCGATTTTCGATATCGTTCTTCAGCTTCAGCGACTGCTTCCTCTCCATCTTGCATTCCTCTTCGACCTTGTTCAGCTTATGCTTCAGCTGGTCAATCTGAAAAAGAATCACACTCTTGACACCATGTGTATCATGTTTACTTTAGTATTAATAACGACAGACAGTGGGTACGATAAAATAAAAGCTAAACTGACTGAGCAGTGGTCATTTAAGCTGGTCCTGCTTGGCTGCATATCTAAAGCTCAGTGATACCAACACTTGGCCTTGATCATCATCAAGCATAGCGAAATCCTGACCTCCAGCTGCAGGTCGCGGCTCCTCATGACGGCCATGTTCTTCTCCTCGCTGAGCTGCGCCAGACGCATGGCCAGGGTGTAGTTGTCATCCTTAACCTTGCACAGCTCATTGTTGATGATGTTACACTCCTCCTTCATCTTGTTGTAGCGCTCCTGGAAGGTGAGCAGCTCCTGGTTGGCCAGCCGCAGCTTCTTGTCCTCGTCCTCCAGCGTGCGAAGCTTGCCCATGATGTCTACACGCTGCACGTCCTTTGCTTTGGTTTGCTGCTGCAGCTTGATCACCTCGTTCATCAGGAACTGCGTCAAGCCCTCGTGACCCTCTTCCACTAAAATGTGCAAAAGCTGACACTTAAGAGCAGCTCCGCTATGTCCAACAGCTCTTACTCTCAACCCCTTGACTCATTACGTTTAACATATAACTGGATGACAATGCATGGAGACGGATTTCACAGGGTCAGGGAGTAATGCAATGCATGTATAGGCATTATATATGTAACTGTATTCCGTTACAGTAATCATATAAATATACAAAATAATATATATATATATATATATATATATATATATATATATATATACAGTTACTCTTCAAAAACATGTAAATTACTCAAGAAATAACTTTTCAGTTTCACTGTATATTTTTTAAACTTTTAAATTTATGGAATTCTGAATTTATCCAATAATGAAATGGTGTGGGATATTCCACCCACACCACCAGCATTAAAAAAACACAGAGAGACCCAGTGATGAAGGCACCTGAGCCTGCACTGGGCACTGATTTTAATTTGTGAAAATTCCACAGATATTTCTCAGTCAAGCAAATAAAAGGACGAAATACTGCTGCACATTACAGTGAAATGCATGCTCCATTTCAGTGTAAATTTTAGTTAGCGTCAATGAATTCTACATCAAACCTCAAAAAAGTTCTTGATGTAGATTGTCCTTTTCGTTAATTAGCCTGAACACTGAGTAGTCCTTTATTGCATTACTATTGTCCTTTTTGGGCTGTAAACATTTATTCTAAAAATATTCAGTTCATGGTTTCAGTTGTGTTGCTTTGCTTACACTTGAATGGTCGACGTTCTTTGAATTATGCACTTATGCACTTAACTGTTTTTGTGTGTGTATACAGCCACAGAAAAAATTAAGAGACCACGGCACATTTTTTTGTTTCACTCATTTCTCAGTTTATGGGTATGTGCCTGTGTTTTCTTTTTTGCAAACTCCAGCCTGGTTCTTCTCTGTTCCTCATTAATGAAGGGATTCTTCCTTGCTTTATGGGACCTCCGTCCTGCTTCTAGGAGCCTGATACGAACTGTCCTTGCAGTGCACTTCACACCGGCACTTAATGATTCCCATTCGTTTTGAAGGTCACTTGAGGTCATCCTCCGATTTATGAGGCACTGCCGGATAAGCTGCCGACCATCTCTGGCATTAGGAAGTCACTTCGGCCCTCTACCTGGCTGGTTTCTGGTCGATCCCAGTGTCACCTGCTTCCCTTTGTTCTTGTGTACTGCTGTCTTAGAAATTTTTAACCTGGAAGCAACTTGCTGCTCAGCATAGCCTTAAACCAGGATTTAAAAATGCAGATTTGTTTAAAAATATAGAACGGTCTGTAAATTTTTTCCATGGTTGTGTAGGTACGCATGTACACACACACACATACTTTTTTGGAAGGTAATTTTAAACACCCAGACGTGTTACTTTGAATTTGATATCAAACATTTAAATCTTTTCATGATTTGCACACAAGCAGACTATACAGTGAATTTCCCTATTTCCAGCTTTTTCCCCCAACAGCTCACTGCGGCAGCGAGCAACGATGAGCAAATGGCATTTCTATTGTTGTAAGTCAGATTGTCCCAAGTCAATTTCTTAGAAGCTCAGCATGGAAAGTAGCACTTTCAGTTTGAAAGCTAAAGCATGAATTTGTTTATCACAAGCAATGTGAAAGGAGCGCTTCGAGGATGTTTCCGGGCTTTTCTCTTGGCCTGTTCTCTCGGCCTGTTCTCTCGGCCTGTCTGGAACCACTTACCCACGATGGTGGAGAACCTGCGTGTGGGCTCCTTCCCCGTGACCAGCTTGTAGAGGTCCGGATAGTAGAACTCCAGGCTCTCCAGAAACACCACGTAGCCCCGGCGACCCTTAGTGTGTAAGATATCCAGGAGTCGACCTGCAAATCGATAGCCAAGTGCCTGTCAGTGACAACCCGCTTCAGATTTGCATGTAAAGACATTGTGCAAAGCTCTGTAGTTTGAGTCATTAAATGCTGGGTGCAAACATATCCAGATCTGTGCTTTCAGGGTTCTAATGTAATGAAGATGAACATACCATTCATATATGATCCAGAGAATAATAGTGGAATAATACCTTAATAATACTTTGTAATGCCTTAATAATACATTGTAATGAGAGAGAGAAAATACAATTATATTATAATATAGATATAGATGTATAGAACATATAAATGAAATCTAAATGATACATGCATTGTGGTTCTGCACTTTTTTAATTAGTAAAGCTGAAACTTTAATACTCTTGGAATGAGAACACACATTTTTTGCATGAAAATACAGTTTTTATATGGTAGTAGAATATAATATTATAAATTTAATATATATAATATATATATTCTTAATCATAACATTCAGTTCTACATGGGTTGTCCAGTTATGGAAATATTGATAATTTTTTGAGCATATTATAAGGCTTATATAAATACGTAACCTCTGCTTTTTATGATGAAACCATTAAAAATATTTTATGAAGAGCACCATTTGTTTTAGCTTTCAAAAATAAAAGCACTGACAAGGAAATTAACCTCAAATTTTATTGGCTGTTAATCCCATATAAATCCACTCTGCTGCCACACTGATTTACTGATCAGACTAATAAAAGTTTAAGGTAAAGGCTGTGGTCTTTAGTCTGTGGTCTGCCTAAGGCCGAAAACGCAGGGGAAGCGCAGATTTTACTTTGGGTGCACGTTTTGTCTGAGCAAGCCAGGACATTTGCTGAGGCTGGCATCCACTGAACAGGAACCCAGAGTAGACGGCCAATTATGTAACATCCTCCATCCATCTTCATGTTACACAATTGGAAACACAGAGCAAGGTGACACAGTGACTCAGTAACTGATTAATGGGGCAATTTGCATGTAAATGTTGTCCGAGGGTGATTTGGATTCCACACGCTGCCACGTTTCGGTCAATTCCGTCCCCCAGCCAGCACGGTTATCGGTGCAGGAACACGCGTGAGCGCATGTGCGCCACACCAATCTTGCTCTTACCTGCGCGGGTGACCCTGGAGGTGAGCATGTATGAGTTCAGGACCTCGTCCTCGTCCTGCTCGTCGATCACCTTGCACTGCCGCAGGTACGGCGTCAACTTGTTGGGGTTGATGTAGCGGCTGAGGATGTAGCGGTTGCTCTCCACATTCTCCCAGAGCGCCTCCTCGTCGTCGCGCGCCGGGTCCCCGCAGCCACCCTCCGAGTTTTCCGTTGGAGCGTCCATGGTGGGGGGCGTTAGCGTAGCGATAAAACGAGCGGGAAAACGGCCCGAGTGTGAGAGACGTTAAACCCTGCAGGGGAAAGCAAACGATAGCGGAGACTTCACTGGAGGAATTTAAAAACTTCAACCAAAAGGTGTCAGTGATGTCCAAAGGGCCTATTACTCCAGTGAAGAGTACTAATGAATTCATAAATAAGCTAATCATGAGGCTTATTATAGTACAGTCAAGTAAATCTCCACTTAGTATGCATTGGCAAAATGGTTCAGAAGGTCAGGCGGCCATATTCATCAGTGGATGGCCCTTTACCCTGATGTCGTGATCACTGAAAGGTGGGGGGGGGGGGGTCAATGGCGTATAAATGAAAGTGATCCAAGGAGGGATCAGGCATTAGAGTAACTGGACATGCAGTGAAAATGGAAAGAGTGGAAGAGATATGACTGGAAAAATAGGCCATTTTATCAGATTTTTAAAAAATGCAATATGGAACCATTATTGGTATGGAAGGCTGGGCTGAATCATGCCTTTGGAAAATAATGCTTTACAAGTTGCTGATCTTCAAGAAAGCCATGAAGATGCAACATCTATGATCATGGATTTCCTTTGACTCGTGGCTTTGCTGATTTCTTATTGTCTGTGTAATTGACTGAAACAGGGCAATAGGCCACATTTCTTTCTTCATCTTATCTGTAACTTATTATTGCATGGAACTTAGATTAGATAAGTAATAATGATAGGAATGAATATCATGGAGTGAGTTGGAACAGAACATCTGGAAATAGCTATGAACTGCAGAATGTCACCTGGAAGGTGTATAAACTTTAAATGAGTGGATAATAAAAAAAATATATTGACGTATGAGAGTGTTACAGATGAGTTGACTAATATTGTGTTTTGATTAGGACTAATGGCAAGAAGCACTATATAAAATCCATGTTGTTTTTGTGTCAGAGAGAGGCAGAGACACCAATATTCAGTGGCCATAAATAATAAGGATGACATTTAACTTTCTGAAGAAAAAGCATAAAACAAGAGGAAGTGTTTAAGGGGATAATTACGGAGGTGCGCTATTTAGCTGAACAGTGATCCGGGGGAGGGGGGAGCGTATCCCTACCCCTCTCAACTGAGAGATCCACACGGATGGACAGAGCGGCAGATTCGTGGCTTTGGGCACGGAGAGTGAGACGATCTCACTTGAGCCTTTGCATATTCCCAGCTGCCTGCAGCGTATGACTGCCGCTCTCCTCCGCCTGCACAATTGCTGCATTGTTCCGCTTGTGCTTGACACAGCTTTGCAAATGAAATCCTATCTGATTTCTCCCAGGCTGCCACACATACCTTTGCATAAGATGAGTTGCCCCCACTCCCCCCCCCCCCCTTCTCCCCACTGGTAACCCCCTCGCGTGGATCTGATAGGAGCGAGGAGCCAGATGCCTTTTGAGTAAGAGGATGGTGCTGATTCCTCTTGCCTCAGGGGGCCGCAAATCAGGCGTTCGCTTTGTGTTGGTTGCTTTTATTTTCCTGTAATCTTTGAATGTAGCAGGCAGGCTACAGGGCTGATCCTGGTCCGGCCTGTTTAGGATCCAAGTCACTCACTATTATATGACAGCCTGTATGTTTTGGCACGTGCTCCTGTCCAGGACAGGTAGGTACACGGGAAACACAAAGCTACCGACCATGAGTGGAGTGGATCCAGAGAAGGCATCTCCGTTTATCGATCAGGGTCCTTCAAGCTGGAAGCTCTGCTCAATACCTACACTTATATGCAGGCAGAGGCCTGTCACAGAGGCCTGTGGTGACACGGTGACAGGAACTGCCCCAGCAGCCGTCAGTCAGGGTATTCAGGCACAGCTGATAGAAGGAGCAAAGTAGCATGAGGGCTTCCTGGGTCTTAATCCTGCTCCTGGTTCAGTGTGTATGGAGTTTGCATGTCCTCCCCATGTTTATGTTGGTTTCAATATTTTAACTGGGGGGGGGGGGTTACATGGGGGGTGAGTAGTTACCCCTTGAAAAAAAATTACCAAATCATAATTAACTTCCCGCACTTCAACATTTGCTTTACATCAACAGTATGTAGATTATATCATGTTTTAATGTGCAATTAATTCAACAAAAAAGTGTGTGTGATTGGGGGGGTGAGAGTCATGTTTCAACAAAAGTGGGGGTGTTACAACAACCGGCTTTCACTTTTGTGATCCAAATATTTATCAAACTCCCCTGAATAACAGCCTGGTCTTTCTACGGCATCTTTTCCATGAATCTCCAGTGTGCACTGGTCAGAATTTTTGTTTTTGTATTTGTAATAATTTGTATTGTAATAATCCATCCAACCTTCCCACATTCTCAGTTTGTCATAGTGCCTGAGGAAAGCAAGATGTAATCCAAGCTGGAATTTCCCAATACCCACTCTGCTGTGTCTGATAACCAACTGCAAACTTCAAACATGTGGCTGCTGGAACGGCTGCATTGCATGCCCAGACAGTGCCATCCCCTGCTCCGCCCATCTGATCTGAGCTCCTCACACACTCACCAACCCGTACAATTTTTAGAAGTAGTAGATGGATTAACTGGAAATGTGAAAGCCAACAAATATGCTTTTGCCTGAATGCTCTGATTCTTCATGAAACATGTCTCTGAAACTACACCTATTCATTTATTGCACTTATCACTTGCTCGCCAGTCTGCAGAATCTTTCCACAACAACTTGGTAGTTACCTGCATTTCTTTGTCTACATCTCAATGTCCATGTCTTGAAATGTCATTCATATTATTGATATTTTTTATATGCATAAATATTTATATTCTTTTTGTTTTTCATTTGCACTATGACCAACATTTTCCTAAAATACCATTAAGAATGGTACCAGATACATTACTGGTACATACAGAGCCCGTTTTGAATCATGAGCACAATTTAGTTTAACATTCCCATAAAATACTCCATTGAGCTCACATAATCCATAAATGTGCAAACGATATACTTTTTTTGGTCTCTCAACCGCAAAACCAGAAGCTGAAGTGAAGTGAACGAATACTACATGCCTGTTTACACTTGATATTAAAATGCATCATGGGATCGGATCACAAGATATATTAAATACGGTGACTTGGGTTGTATATACGCAAAATGTTTAATAGTAGCAGCCCAAGTAACAGGGAATTCTCCCAAAATGTTATTTAAAAATCTTCTAAAAGATAGTAGAGAATGTTACTGTAATGTTATTTCCATGTTTTACATTTTAACAAAGGTTCTGCAATGTTAGCATGGTGACATTATTACATGAAAATCTTTATAATATAATTGATGTTGAACAACATTGTTTTATAATAAAACTGTTATTTTATAATTAGGCAGCATGCATGCACTGTGAATACAGCATTCAGCCAAGAACCGATGAACTATGAAGTATAAAGTAACAGTGCTACCCTCTGCCCTACCATGCCCCTCATTTGCATATATATTATTATTCTTAGTTGTTGTAGTGGGATAACATTCTGGGAATGTCAAGAAAACTGGACCCTTAATTGTAACGTTTGGTAAACGTTCCTAGGACAAAAAAAACCTTGGAAGGCTTGGGCAGTATTAAATTTTCCATACTGTCCAGTCATTACATTAGGGCTGAAACGATTCCTCGAGTAACTCGAGTAACTCGATTACAAAAAATCATCGAGGCAAAATCCTCTGCCTCGAAGCCTCTATTAATTCATTTTAAAGTTCATGTCACGTTTTTTCGCAATGATTTTTGCATTACTGTGACAATGCACTTACGCTTACGTCACCCACGAAGCGGAAGGAGACGGCGGTGTTTTGATTTGAGGGCGCGAGCGCGGACTACTGTGGGCTGCGTAATGGAAGGGAGCAATGGCGATGAGCAAAGAGAAAACAGAAGAAAACGACAAAAAATGTCAAAAGTTTGGAATCATTTTAAATTAAAAAATAAAGAGAACGCTGTAGTATGTGTCCACTGTAAGGTCGAGCTAACTTACCACAATAGCACGTCGTCCATGCTGCAGCATCTCAACAGGAAACATCCGCTCTACTCAGAGACCGGAGGAGGACGCTCACCCGAGACCAGGTAAATAAATTCAATGTAGCGTTAAATCAATGCGATTGTTAATCGAGATAGGGGCTGTTAAATAATGTACGTTAATTATGTAAGGGATAAACCACAACGGTCAGTGCAATACTGCACGACGGATGTAGAGCTAGGATACTAGTAGCCTTGATAGCTAGCTAGCGATGCAAACTTGGGCTAACCTAGGTTACTTAAAACACAAATCCGATTACCCGATTACTCGATGGAATTTTCAGTAGAATACTCGATTACCAAAATATTCGATAGCTACAGCCCTACATTACATTATTACATTACTCCAATATTTTGAAATTTTGTCGATAAAATTTGCCGGGGGGGTCTCCAAAATAGAGGACGTACAACGGTATGCCATTTTACCCTAATACTTTCCCTGCCTAAACAGTAGTTCTAATAATAAATAAGTTTTTGGTTCATCCATCCATCCATCCATCCATCTACTATTTGTCGCTTATCCGGGGTCGGGTCATGGGGGTAGCAGTCCAAGCAGGGATACCCAGACTTTCCTCTCCCTAGCCAGCATCTCTGGGGGAATCCCGGGCCAGTCTAGAGGTATAATCTCTCCAGCGTGTCCTGGGTCTGCTCTGGGTTCTCCTCCCGGTTGGACATGCTGAAACACCTTCCTGGGGGGGTGTCCAGGAGGCATCCTAGGTAGATGGCCGATCCACCTCAACTGGCTCTTTGTGATGCAGAGGAGCACCAGCTCTACTTTGAGCCCCTCCCAAATGCCAGGCTCCTCACCCAATGACTAAGGACCAGACAACCTGTAAAGAAAACTCACTTCTGCATCCGCAATCTCATTCTTTTGGTCACTACACAAAGCTCATGACTGTAGGTGAGGGTAGGAACTTAGATTGACTGGTAAATCAATAGCTTTGCCTTCCAGCTCAGCTCTCTCTTTAGCACAAGACAACGGGTCCACATTACAACTAATGCTGCACCGATCCGCCTATCAGTCTCCCACTCTTCCCTCACTCG